CATACACCTTGATGTCAAATAAAATAAATAAATGACACAAGGTTTAAATAAAGTAAAAATCAGCAAACAATGTGGAACCAATTAAATAAGAAACGAATGTTTAAAAAAAACTTCCAAAATCACCATAGATAAACAGCAAAAACCAACAGGCTTTTCAAAATCCAAAATATTGCCAAACAAGCGCTTTTGCATTTCATTTCGAAACTAAATCATCCGCGATCGTCTTGTCTGTCTCACCCCACTCTTCTTGTCAGTCAGCTCGACTCGCTCTCCTTCACTGGAGAAATTAAATCTGATCTGAGATGTGACGTTTGGCATGCTGCATTGAGGAGCCGTGTTCAGTTTTTAATTGTAGTGTCTGTTCTTTTACTGAACTGAATGATTTTTATTACTATAAAAAAACCAAAACAACGGTGGGGGTCGGTGACGCGGTGGGCAAGTGATGTAACCGGTGTTGCGGCTTAACACCGGTATCACCGTCAACACCGTCTATCGCGGCAAGCCTAGTATATATACACACACACACACAATAAAATATACACACTCACACATAAATACAAAAATAAATATTATACATATATACATATATATATAATAAAAAGTCATATTTAAATATTTGTAATTCATAGTCATAAATTGAGACCACATACATATTTCAAGAGAATATTAATTATCTATCAGTTTGAACAACACACTTATTAGCACTTTTCTTTTTTCAAAGTGGTGTAAGAATATCAGAGGTGTAGTTTCAAAGGTTGAACTTTTCTGTGAACTTTAGACTTCTTTAACTGAAAATCACTGCGCTGCTCTCAGACGTTCTAAAGAACTGATTCCCATTCCATCTGTTCCTGATCAGTAAAACCTGTTCTATAAAAACTAGTATAAATCCAGATGACAGATTATGCTGTTGCAGTATATGAGAGCAGATTGTTTTGTTGCTAAATGATAACAAGGAGAAATGCAAGAGGAAATCTCCAAACCTGTGCGGCCACTGTGTGTGAGCGGGTGGGGAAAAGTTTGGTGACACAGGCTGTGTTAAAACCGGCCTCCGACAGACCGAAAGCTGCACGCAGGCCTGCGCCACCGGCTCCCACCACGACAGCGTCAAACTCATGGTCTACTACTGGATACTGAGTGGAGATCTGAGGGGAGAAATACCAAAAACACATTGATCACGCAAGGCCAGTAGTCTCTGTGACAGCTAATGTTGTTCTTTAAAGTGACAACTACCTTAATAGCCTGCAATGGTGGTGCATGTACGCGTATAACTGTCAATACTAGATCCTGCATGCAAAATGAAAACTACTGAAACCAAACGAGGACGTAGCATACTGTACATACTTACAGCATCTGAGACTTTTGCATCTCCCCCTTTTCCATAGACGGAGAAATGCAACTTGCGGTTGCTCGTCTGCCACACCACTGGCAGCTGGATGAAGCAGCACAAATTATTAATTTTAATAGTTCTGTGACATCTGTGATGTTTATCTGTGTTTGTACATTTCACTGCTTTACCTTCATTTATTGAGTATTTATTCAATTCGCATTTATTTTGTACAGACAAACATATCGCTTCAAAGCAGCTTCAAAGGAAATGATTGTTTCAACATTTCAATTTAGAGTTAATTTATAATTTGTTTATTTTCATCTTCACCACTCTTGTGCTTGATTTTTTTTCTTTATTTTATTTTTTGTATAATGCATATTTGAAAAAATCTAATCTGCAATAAGTAAGTCTGACAGTCTTTTAGTAAATGGCACATGTGTTACATTTTAGTAAGAAAATTGCAACACAACATAGTGACCAGTGTTGGGGGTAACGCATTACAAGTAACGCGAGTTACGTAATCAGATTACTTTTTTCAAGTAACTAGTAAAGTAACGCATTACTTTTTAACTTACAAGAGAACATCTGA